TCGAATCGAAATGAATTGAAAAGTGGCCAGATCAGACTCGAATTCAGATTCAGATTCAGATTAGAAGCTTGTTTTCGTCACGCTCGACAGGGTTTTCCGAGCAAACAAATGACGCTGCGCTGCGTAATTGATGGATTTTTTTGCCTAAATAAAGAAAATACTAGCTGAGTGAGTGGTAAACGCAAAACGCTTTTCCAAGCAGGTGAAATTTCCTTTGCCATCCGTTATTAATGATGATGACTCTTGGCGCTGGCGCAAATATTTGACCAACACTACAAAACCGTGGCAGTGGCAAAAGCCAGATGTGTAAGCGCAAACTGACCCACAAAACAAAAAAGCGCTCTCCCGCCGCCTGCAGTTTCCCAAACGTTTATAATGAAAACTGCATAGCGCCCTGCGGCGACCTACAAAAAGAAAAAAATATTGTATATATATAAAAAATGAAGGAAAAATGTTGAACGAAACGGCTGGAAAACCTGACCATAATTTAGCAATATCCAACACTTGTGCAATTTCATAAAGCATTTTAGCCCAGTGGCCACAAAAAGCACACAGTTGCCACACATTTCCGCGTAATCATCATAATTTTTCGTGTTTTTCATTTTTATGAATCTGTTGATTTAATGCCATCGAGAGACTGGGCACTAGACGGTAAGGAAAAATATAAAAAAAAACTATATATATATTTACAATTTGGCACGCCGCATAAAATGGCATATTAAAACACATTTCAATTTGGACAACGGATTGATGACGGCGAATGGCTATATTATTTTCCCTTGATTTCAGGCACTGAAAAATATTTAGTAAAATATTTAATTTAATAATATTATCCAACTAATATTAATGTTTAAAATATCAATATTATTTAATAGTATTATTACTTTCTTTCATTTTAAATAGTTTTTTAAAAAAGGAGTACTTTCAACCCTATAAATCGTATATATTTTCTGGCTTTCTTAATCATAGAAGATCTGATTTTAAATATATTATATATTATTTATTTATATTCTATCATTTCATATGTATTTAGAGAATTATTGACTTTAAATTTACAATATAATATTAATTAAAAGTTGTAGAAATATCTTTTCATTAGTAAAGTTCTTAAAAAAAATCTACCATTTAGAATTATCTTTTTTTCATCTCAACGATTACTTAATACAAATAAACATCTCGCTTTGATCTTAAATCATCTTCTTCGTTTGGCATTTTCTAAATGATGTTTCTATTTAATTACACATCTTGTGCCCACGGAATACCTCAATTAATGGATTACTGATACCACATAAGAACAGATTGACCCACATTTCATTTATAGTAAGGTAGTTTTTTTTTATTGGTTAGACTCGGCCAGTACACAGAGTTGTCAATTATCAAGGCGATGATCAACGGGCTTTGCCTGGCGACTGGCAGAATTATTATGTAACTTTTTGGCATATTAAAGTGATTTATGGCCCGTGGCATTGGCCATCGGCCCGAACCCAAACCTGAGCTCGATCTCTTGCTCTTGGCTTCGTTTTCATCTATGCCAGACTTCCTGACCAGCTCCAGCTTCAGCTTCAGCTCCAGCTTTAACTCCGTTGTCCATTTGTCCGTCTTTATTTTTGTTTTTTTTTTCTTTTTGAGGAGAACTTCTCACATGCGGGACGTCGGCAAGATGATGTCTTGAACTTTTGGGGGCGCAAAGTCGCAGCCATTTATTATCGGCGGTAAAAGTTTTTTGGGGCTGAAACATTTTACAGTTGTGTGTCATGAACTTTAATGTTTAGCATGTGTTGTTGTTGCTATTACAAAAGTTGCCTTGTGCCTTATTGCAGTTGGTGTAGGTAGGTGTAGGTGTTTGTTGTGCAGCTCCATGCAGTTTTTTTTTTTTTTTTTAAATGTGAGCAGTTCATGGGAACAGCGTCGGCGAGAAAGTCGCTTGATTTAGGTGTCTGATGGGGTCACCTAAAAATAAAAAAACGAGCCAGAAAAGCAACGTCCATTTGTACTGACATTTCTGGGTTAATGCGACGATTTTTGCACCGAAATGTCAGTTGCTGCAATTAAAGCCACGTTTAATAACTCAATCAAAATCGGCCCAAAAGTGACCCTCGTTAAACGTGTTGGATTGATGGGGCAGCAGCCCTTTTGGCCCCGAACCATTATTAATTGCCGCCTTTTATGAAAGTGTAAGCCAAGTCAAATCACAAACACTTACCTAGCGCCTTTGGCTGTTTAGCTTTAGGCCGCTTTTTTTTTGTATTTTGCCTTTTTTTTTTTTGCCTAACTGCCGCAGCGTGTGAACATGATCACAGCCGCAAAACTGATGGCGCTGCCTGCTCACCGCAAACTACAACTTTGTGATCTTAATTCAAAATAATATCTACAAATGGCAAAAAAAAAGGTTTAAGTAGTGGCCTAAATGCCCTGCTAGAAATAAAGGGGAAAACTGGTTATAAAACTTTATGGTAATATTAATTATTATTTTTAAAAAATACTTTAAAGTAATGGATAAATAAGCAAATCTTTTAAGTTTCCTATTTTTAGTATTTTCTAGTTATATAAATGTTTCGTAATAAAGCTTAAAATAGCCCAAATTATCTACCAAAAACAGTAAGAAAGTTTTTTCAGATTTATTTTTAGTTATTACAATTTTAGTCAGAAGCTTCTTAAACAGTGAAGGATCCATTTCCGACCTCATAAACCATATATATTATTGATCAGCATTAACAGGCGAATCTTTCTAGCCTTGTCCGGAAGAAAAAAAAATTTGGGCATTTTTTCCAAATTTTATAAGGGGTTACATCATTAAAATTCTTAAAAATCAATAAAAATTTAATTTTTTTTAATTTAAAATTTAGTATGCAGATTTGTTAACCTAGAAAAAACTAGCATAGAAAAGCTTTCCGAATTGAATTTGATGCTATTTTGGCTTACTTATTAAATTTTTAAACTTTAATTTATCCAAAAAATTAACAAATAAAAATATGAATAAACATTCTATTCAAAAAATTCCAATATTTCCGGTCTTCTAGAAGGGTATTATAGGGAAGCCAAGTTGAAAAGAAAGCAACTTTTTAATTTATTTCAAAATTTGATAAATAGTTAAAATCATCAAAATAGTCGAAGATTTTAGTTAAAAACTCTTAATTTCAGTATGCAGATTTATTAACCGTAGAATTCCCTAGTTCTCTTTATTCCAACCCTCCTTGATAGCCAACTTACTCCCCCTTTTTGATTAGTGTATGCCTCAAGTAACAATAAAAACAAACCATCGACTAAATTTCTCACAGGTTTGTAATTTAAGACTGCCGCCACAAAAACAAACAAACAAACAACAACTAACCGGCGGGCTGGCAACTGCAACGACATATCCGTGCCCACGACAGCAACTGCGGCGATCACCACAAACTAATTGCAAAGTTTAAATGCGATACTTTTATGCATTTTAAATATTTCAATTAGTCGGCGCTCCGAGTGCAGGCAGGGAATGAAAACCGAGACCCGAAAACAAAAAAAAAAAAAAAAATGAAATGGAAATGGCAGAAAGAAAGTGCAAAAAGTCACAAAAAGCGTGGGGCGCCAGCGAATAAAGTTTAAAAAAAGTGTTTACACGATCGAAAAGGAGAGGAGACGTTTGCTTAACCCCGTGGCCGAGAGTGAATATTGGCAAATTTATGAACTTTAAGCTGCATTTATGCGTGCGGCTTATAAGCAATAAAGGTAACTTAGTGCCAACAATGTCATAAAGGCCGCTGTCACATAAACAACGCCGTCGTCTTCCACAATTGGCCAGTTGGCCGGAATCAATATGGGAATTTATATGCAGAAACTAAAAAAGCGTAGCATCGCCAAAAGCGAAAACAAAATTAATAATCACAAGAATTTCACTTTTCACGCAACGACAGCGGCAGCAGCAACAGCAACAGCGGCAGCAACAGCAACAGCAACAGCGTCAGCACAGCAGCAACATCATCGGTATCGTCTGCCTTGTCACCCACAAATAAACCAAAATAAATGTTTATAACTTAAGTCGAAGTCTGGTTACTCTTTTGAATTTTTAGGAATTATTTTGTAAAAGCTTTCTTTATTAAAAAAAAAATAGTTAGCAAAGCTTAAGCTTATCAACTCTTTTAACATATTTTGTAACCTTTAAATATATACTTTTTCAGTTTTTGCAATAATTATAAATACTCTTCAATAAACATTAGATACAAAAGTTAATAATTATAAAGAAAACCTAAATCTTAAATGTAGAAATTCTTCAGATATTGTTGCTAAAAAAAATGTTGCTAGGAACCTATGTTATAAACAGAGTTTAGGATGAATTCAATAGGATTTGAAGCTCGTTATTTTTCTCCGATATATCATATCTGACTTTTCTATTCAATATATAAACGTTCCATTGGATATTGCAAAGAATTCAGCAACTTTATTGTCTTAAAACTCTTATGTTTTTGATGATAAAAACGCTTCTTTCTATAAACATTTATCGCTATCTTTGAACATAAAATTCATGTAAATATACATTAATCTCTTCCCTTAACCACTTTTTAAAATATATTTAATATAACCCATTTCCCGAGAGAGTGTATAAACAGCTGGCGTCCAAGTGAAGCGCTCTTGGGAATACAGTTGCATAAATTTATTGAAATTTGCATTTCGGTCTTCGATGCAGCCAGCCGCCTGCCTGTGTGCCGTGTGGTTTGGCCTATAAAAAATATGGCATCGATTGATCGCAACGCAAGATATTTCAATTAGCGTAAATACATTTTTGTCGTTGTTGGATGGGACGACAATCGAATGGACGGACGAGAGAGACACGCACGCAGTGAAAGAGAAGTCGAGATACTACTTACATTTTGGGGCCTTGCGATGGGTAGATTAACTTATGGTCGTGTCGCCTTAATAATGGTCTGCATCTATGCAAATTTCCCTACTCGTTAGTCAGAGACAAATATAGGCAGGAGTGTGGGCTAGTCACAGATTTTTTCCCAGGATCGATCGATCGATCGTTATTGTTACAAATATATATATATTGCAAATCATGCGAACACAATCTGGTCGTAAATCTAAGCTAACAGGTGAGGTGTGTGTGTGCGCTCATTAGGGATCCTCTGGAGTGATGGTCACATGCATTTGCTTCACGCCGCGGAGTATGACTATGTCCAGCGTTTTGCTGTTGTCGGCCAGGGCATCGTAGACATCCGAGGAGTTCTTGATCTCCTTCTTATTGATGTGGGTCACTATGTCGCCGGGCTGCAAGCCGCCACTAAAAATGATACAAAAAAAGGATTATAAATATAGGATTTAGTCTAGGAAATCCAACGTTAGACCCACCTGTGCGCCGGAGATCCCACAATGACCTTCCACACCAGCACCCCGTGCGTTAGGTTGCTGGGCATGTTCTGGCTTCGGGACTTTAGCTCAAACAGTATGTCAGGCGTGAGCGTCAGCATGGTGATGCCCATGTAACGCTTCACCGGATACCCTGTCTTGTAGGCCGAACCCTTCTTGCGCTTCTCGGCTGCCCGCTCCAAAAAGACCTTCACATAGTCGATGGGAATTGCAAAGCTTATGCCGGCCGTCACCTTCATTGAGTTGACGCCAATGGCCTCGCCGTCTAGGTTGACCAAGGGTCCGCCCGAGTTGCCGAACGTAATGGCAGCATCCGTTTGCAGGTAGTTGATGTCCCTGTTCCGCAGACCAAGTTCTTGGGAAGCCCGTTGCGTGGAGCTGATGACACCCGCCGTAACAGTGTTGCTCAGGGCCAGGGGACTGCCCAAGGCCACCACCCACTCGCCGGAACGGAGGGTGCTGCTCTTGCCCAGGCGCATCACTGAGAGGTTGTTTACCTGGATGCGCAGCGTGGCCAGGTCGGAAGTCTGATCCACGTCCTCGATGGTGGCGGGAAAGGTCCGGCCGTCGGAGAGCCGCACCTGAACCATCGTGTGCGGCTTGTTGATCACCACATGGGCATTGGTCAGGATGAGCCCGTTCTGTTCGATGATGAACCCAGAGCCATTCGAGGCCGTGATGGGCTGGCCGCTGAAGTAGTCAAAGTGTCGCGTGTCCTTGATCTCAATGTAGACCACGGAGTCTGCACAGCCGGCGACCACGTCGGCAATGAAGTTGAAGTCGCGTCGCCGGCTGCTCATCGCTCTGGCGGCTATCGTTGGGGTGAGTTCCTCGCGGTTAATCACCAGCGTGCTGGCCACAGCGCCCAGGGAGAAGGGCACAAAGAAGCGGACCACACTGCGCCATCCGAAGGACCACTGGCCGCTTCCCTTTTGCTCGCCATCCTGGCGATCTTGCCCACCATCCTGGCCTTTGTGCGATGATGATGTGTGGCTGCTTCGCTGCACCAGCTGGGTGGAGGCAGTGCAGCGCCTCAGGATAGCCAGCAGGCGGTGCGAGCCACGCAGCGTCATCCTCTGTATCGATCTCTCTGTGAAGCGGAGCAGGAGTCGGAGTCGTCGTCCCTTGTTATTGTTATTTAATTTCTGACTTCTCAGTTGGCAGCAGCTGATTTCAATTTTGTACACTGACCCAAGCCGGCTGCTGCGGCACCCACGACCTATCGATATCGATAGCCAGCGATAGGCGCGGGGGAAACAGCTTGTGGCCGCGGCAGTGATGGCACGTCGGCAATTTTTACGGTAATTTGGCTATTGAACATTTGGCTTGCATTGACAGGAAACTGTCAGTTGTTTTTGCTTGATTTCATACAATTTATATTTAACAGCATTTTGGAAAATTCAATTGAATGACATTAAACACTGAGTAATAGAAAGTAGAAGAAAATAAGTCATTTTTTAAAAGCTAGCTTTTTTTCCCGCTAGAGTAGTGCCATCACTGTCGTAGTGCCATCACTGTCGTCAGCTGTTTCTGCTGCTGCTTCTTCTTGCGCCCACCAACACATTTCGCTTTGCATAACACTTTAAAAAGCATTTGTTTAGCCGAAATAAATCAATTAAAATGTCCAAGGCGGCGGGCAAGCTGAAATCCCTGAAGAAGACAGTGGAGCGAGTGACGCACACGAGCAAATTGAGAACGAATATACCTGCAGGAATGGCCGCGGCAGGTCCCCCATTGGGCCCCATGTTGGGACAGGTGAGTTGAGCCGCCGGTTTGGTAATTTCCGATAAAATACATCTCCTGCTTTCCTTTGACCACCAGCGCGCTATTAACATAGCTGCCTTTTGCAAGGACTTTAACGCCAAGACGGCAGAAATGAAGGAGGGTGTGCCCCTGCCCTGCAGGATTTCCGTGAATAGCGACCGCAGCTACGACCTGGTCATCCACCATCCGCCGGCCACCTTTTTCCTGAAGCAAGCGGCGGGTTTGCAAAGGGGAACCATGACGCCGGGCAAGGAGGTGGCCGGCATGATCACGCTCAAGCATTTGTATGAAATAGCCGCCATCAAGATTCAGGATCCGCCAAATGCCCTGCTCACCATGCAGGTGAGTCTTTTAGAATGAAAACTAGGTTATTTAGTTAATATTTTTTATTTGTAGCAAATGTGCGAGATGCTCATTAGCATTGCCCGGACCTGTGGCATCAAGGTGGTCAGAGACATAGATCCGGCGGCCTATGGCGAGTTTCTGGAGGAGCGAAAGCTCATTGTGGAGCAGCAGAGACGCGAACTGCAGGAGAAGCGAGAGGCCAAGATGTTGCGCACGGGCTAAGTTCACTAAAAGCGCTGTGTTTAATTGTTAAAAATACATGTATACTTAAAGAGAAGACAAGACTTATTCTATGCCAATGCGCTTGCGGTCCTTGGCGGCGTTCTTCTTGCGGCGCTTTTCCAGATGTTTGTTCAGCTTTCCAGTGTTTTTTAGCTGCTCGAATTGGGCCACCAGCTCCTTGGCACGACGTTCCTCTGTGGAGTTTACAAATTTAGGTTTGAGATGAGCTTGAAATGTGTATAAACTCACTCTTTGTTAGATAGTGCGGGAGCTCTCCTTTGTTGTGTTTCTTCTGGATCCTGTCGCGTTCTTTTTTGAGTTGCTTCTGCTTTTGTTGCCACTTCCTGTCCTCCACGTTCTTGTTGATCAGTCGCTGCATGGTGTGCTTTATCTTGTGCTTCTCCTCGTTATCCTCCATCTCGTCCAGCTGCTTCTTCAGCTGACCCACCTCCTTATCGCGGATTTGCGTGACAAACTCGTAGTTCTTCTTGAAGGTCTCCGCATGGTAGGTGCCTGATTTCTCGTCGAAACGCGGATCCCTTAGCTCTGTGGTTTTCTTGCGCTCCACTCGGTGCTCGGCGCCCAGGAACGGAACCTGTCGTCGGGAGGACATCTCACGGGGTCGATTTTTGTTGAGTCTTTTCAAATCGGTCTTGGTTTTGGGTTTCTTGTTGGTTCTTGTGGCTTTTCCCCCCAGAACGGCTTCCTTGTAGACCTTGGCGCCTAGTTCTTCTTTCAGTTTCATGATCTCCTCGAAGGACATGCCTTTGAGGTCCTGGCGAATGGCATTCTGAAGAGGGAGTACTCGGAATTAAGTCACATTTTCTTAGTTAGACCTTTCCTACCTGAGTTTCATCTTCGCTGCTGCTTTCCTCCTGCTCTGAAGCTGATGAAGGTTCATCTTCCGATGACATCTTTGCTTTTAAAATCACTCAAATCACTTGAATTTATTAATTTATTTACGTTTTTGATATTTCACGTGTTAGCTTTGTTTTGGTAAAATCAGCTGTTAGAGGCAAGTGTGACCAGCACAACATTTTCTTGAATTTCGGTTTTCCCCCTTAAAAAAGAATCCCCTAAATCTAGCGAATGGCCTTTAAAAAAAAGCTAGAATTGACGGGAAAAAGGCGGATGTGGCATCACATATTGTTTAATTTTTTTAATCGTTATTTTCAAAACTAGCAAAATGAAATTGAAAATTTGTGTTTTGCTTATTTAAAAATATTATAAACAAGAAAGAAAGCTAACTTTGGCCAGCCAAAGTTTGTATACCCTTGCAGGTAACAATTAAAATATATCATAACTAAGCCAAAAATGCATTAATTTCGATTCGGAATGCAGTTTTGTGTTAGTTTTTATTAATTAAAAAAACTGCATACCAAAGTTAAAATTTTAAGAAATCAAAATTTTTGGCCATTTTTGCTAATTTTAATGATGTAACCCCTTATCAAATTTCGCAAAAATGGCCAAAAAATCGATTTCTTCTGGACATGTCTAGAAAGATTCCCCTGTTGATGCTGATCAAGAATATATATGGTTTATTGGGTCGAAAATGATTCCTTGACTTAGAAAAATATTATTTTGTATTATAAAATCGGATTTTTTTATATTAAAAAAGTCTTGATTTTTTAAAATTAAAAATATCATAACTCGGCCAAAAGAGCATTAATTTTAAATCTGAAAACTGTTCAGTGCAAGATTTTCTACAGTTAATAAATCTGCATACTTCATTTAAAAATTTTGAAAATTCAATTTTTTTTATCAAAATCAAAAATTTTAATGATGTAACCCCTTATAAAATTTTGCAAAAATGGCCAAAAAATCGATTTCTTCCTGACATATCTAGAATGATTCGCATGTTAATGCTGATCAAGAATATATATACTTTATAGGGTCGGAAACGTCTCCTTCACTGCGTTGCAAACTTCTGACTGAAATTATAGAAATTTCAGCAAATTGCGGAAAATCGAGGAGTTGCTGAATTTGTTCTAAAAATTTCAAGATTAAAGCCTTATTTTTACCTACAACAACAATACTTTTAAAACAACATCAAACTAAGACACCGATTTCCCCAAATTTCCGTACAGACTGGCTGCTTCACCAATTACTTAAAAAAGAAAGAAAACCCATCTAGTTTAGAGTAATTCCCAATGGTGTGATTTATTTTTGATTCAATTGCAAGTCTTACATAGTTAGGTAAACAAATGGTGAATAACTCTTAGATCGTTTTTGGGGATAACAGAAACAAGCAACGAAACTGCGAAGGAATGTACACAATTAATTGTCACTGAACTGAACAAAGTGGGGACTTTGTAACGGTCTTGATTTCGATTTTTTTGATTTTGATTTTCAAGCGTGACTAGAAAAATAGTTGCAAACCTTTTCTTAATCTTTTGTTGTTTGACATTTAGTAGCCAAAGTTTGATTAGCACACGCAGACCTGTAATAAAAATAATGAGATGCTCTTAAACACATTAAGTCTAAGCAATTCAGTTACAGTTACATTAGTCACATGTAAATATTTCATATATAGGTTCCGTTACATATTATATTTAGTTTTATGCTTATGCTCCTGTTTAGTTTTATGCTCTATAGTATATAGTTTGCTTTGTACACGTACACACAGATAAAGTAAACTTCATTGCAACAACTAGATGAGTGTGGGGACCGGATTAATCGTATTTAACCGTGTGCGATTATTATTTGCCAAATATTTATCGTATTCGTATTTTGCTTGAGTTCGAGTTCAAAAATTGACTGCTGTCGTTTATCTTTAGGCTAATATTTATATTTATACAATCCAAACAGAGTACGAAATGTTTTCCCATTCGCTTCTGCCTCCGCAGAGTTCAATTAATCCATATTTGTGCTGTGCTCACAATCGAAATATCATATAATATTGCTATAGTTTGCTACGTAAATACCATACGCTTAGCACTCGTTCTGTGCATACAAATATTAGTTATTAATTAGTAGTTTATTTAGTTTATTCATTATCAGTAGAGCTATAAAGTAGATCTCAAGCCGATCACAGGCGAGGACTAGTGGTGATCACTGTCGTCTCTATTCTCGATTCCCGATGCCTGCTGGAATTGTATAGCCTCTCACAAAGTCTCCTTAAATAGGGTTGGTTTCTTCTATAGTATTTCATACGTTTTGACTAGCACGATTTGGTTAGGGTGACTACATACACTCTTAGCTAGTTTGGTTTTGGTTGCCTCTACTTAGTTAGTTTAGTTTCGCGGTTTACAATCACCTAAAAGCGACAGACACATCTATATAATATATAGAGTAAATAGCGTATATTCGTTTAGAGATAGAGAGAGAGAGAGGGGATAGTATCCGACAAAAGGTTCAACCCGTGGGCTTCGCACCTTCGGGACCTTAAATAGATCACATATTTTGACATTCACTTATGCTTAATATTGCAACTGCATTTGCCTCTGCCTAATGCTCGTCCTCTGGTATATGGATAGTTATAGTACTTAAAACATATATCAAACATATACATGCACCATCTGTTCACGATTTTCTTTTACGTTTAGATTTGTGGATAGTTTTTTGTTGGTAAAATTGCAACTTTTCTTTTAGTTTTGAATTATTTTGAGTTGCAAAATTACTTGACAAGAAAACGAAGAGTTTTTGTTAATATTAAGAATTGTTTTTAACTTTACACAAATATTTTCTTTATTTAAAAACATAAAACCTAATAATTTCACCTAATTTTATGTAAATTAAAAAAATTCAAAGGGTCTTTATAAACAGTTTAACCCTCAAAAATATTGCAATTTTACCCACAAAAAACTATCACAATCTAATCGAATTTGATACCGTGAACATGGCCAATAGATACAGGTAGGAGCAACAAGTTTGTGTGAACTTTTAGCAAAATCGACGCCAATTAGAACTCGGTCATCCCCCCTCCGCACTTGTGGTCAGTCTCACTGCCCGGAGTGCTGGAGGGGGTCGCCATATTCTAATTGGACGGCTTTCGTCATAAGAGCGCGCACAGCTTGGAGCGCTTCTTGGACTTGTCCACCGCCTGGACCTGTCCAGAGGCGCCAACGACGCCGCCGGCGGACGAGGTGGATGAGGAGGCGGACATGCGGCCCATGCTGCCAGAGGCCTGCGGTTGTGAGGGACTCGTCGGGCTCTTATCGTCCATATCCTCGCTGACGTGGGACTCGAGGAGCTTCAACGAGGTCTTCGGCTTGGAGCCGTCCATGCTGTTGTAGAGCGTCTTCGAGAGCTTCGAGCGAACGGCCTTGCCCAGGGCCCCCGTCTTCTTCATGCTCAGCCGGGAGCCACTGCGCTGGTGCTCTGGCGTGTGGCTGTCCTCGCTGCCATGCTGCGACTGTGACTGCTGATTGCAGTTGAGCGTTGTTACTGTGAACTCAATGTCCTTGATCTCCTCATCCTCGCAGGCAGCAAACTCCTCCACAGGCTTGTCAATGGTGTCGTGATCGATCCAGGTGAGGCCCATCTCCACCTTCTCGGCCAAATCCTGCCAGTTGCGTCGATTCTCCAGGGTGCCCTCGTACAAGGGTGTTATCCAGGGGAAGGTGTCGCACAGGACTCTGTACAGGGGCAGGCAGATCACGTCAATGAAGCCAACCTGCATCTTGGGCAGCTCGTCCTTGCGTTCCCTAAAGAATTATTATTAATTAAGAGTTTTTTTTAGGCAGATATAATGATTCCACTTACCTGTCCATCATGGCCACCGGTTGTGTATTGAGCTGCAGCTTCTCGAGATCTCCCTGGTCAAAGAACTCATCAGCCACCAACTTGGCCACTTTGTGCTGGACTTCCCAGGGTTTGGCAATGGCACTCACATCACAGGCCGTCATCATCATGCCGCAAAGTACTAAAAAAATAATTTTATATTTATTAAATAAATAATAATTAAAAAGTAATACATTTCACTTACAATCCTTCTTCTCCTCGCCCTGCCAGTCGAATTCCCCGTTCTCCACCAGCTCCAGGAAGGCGTTTCGCTTCTTGAAATACATGGCCAGATCGGTGGACAGAATGGCACTCTCCACGGTCTTCATGACCGAGCGATAATCCTCGGGTGACAAGGCCTGAAAGCAAAAGCAAACACGAGCTCAGACAAAGGCAAAAATAGATATTCTATTCTTAAATTTCTATCCCAGAAACACCTGTACTCATGACGTCACCTCTGTACTACACATGTGCCTAAACAAAAGTTCACATCTTATCGGAGTCAAGGTGGACTAACTTTCAGAGATCTTTCAGTATAAAGAATAATAAATAAAGTTTCTGGCTAATTGAAGGTCGCTAGTCAATCGTGGATTTGGTATAAAAGTGGGACTGTTCCAGCGAAAGGCATATCAGTTAACAATTGAAGCAAGCAACATGAAGGCATCCACCGTTCTCCTTGTCCTCACCGCATCCCTATTTGTGGCCCATGTCTGGGCTGCCGATACCACCACCTCAACGGAATCGACTGACACTACTTCCACTACCACTGCATCCACCACCACGGAATCTACCACTGCCTCAACCTCGTCTTCGTCCTCGGGCACCGGCAAGATCGTGCGAATCAGCAACCTGACATACACGGCCCAGCGTAGGATCAAAGTGGGATCCACCACGGCCTCCACCAGCACCCGTTCCCGCAGTGCCAGGGCCCGCCAGGCACGCCTAGCCAAGGCCAGGAAGGCCAAGGCCGCCAAGGCAGCCAAAAAGGGCAACAAGCGAAACTTGAGGAAGAGCAACGGCAACGTTCGCGTTTACCGCGGTTGAGCTGAGCTTTGTTAACACTTTTCTTCTAATAAAATCTACTTTTCTTTCTTAAAAAACTCACCTGAAATATGTAAACACTTCTATTCTAATAAAATCTACTTTTATTTCTTAAAAAACTCACCTGAAATATGTTATTTCCCTCCGAGTTTAGGATCATCACGCACTGATCAAAGTGATGATGCTCCATCGTGCTGGTGGTGTACAAAATGGCCAGCGGGGATTCGGTTTTGGTCTGGAAGGCATTATTGGTGCCGCGGTGATCCAGGTCGTGGCACAAACAGGCCACCAGGAGGCCCAAGATCTCCAGATCAGTCATGAAGCGCTCCATCTTGCCGGTTTTCAGCATGGCAAACATGGTTTGGGCCACATTAAGAGCATGCCGCCAATTGTGGTACTTGACGGGACGATAGTTCTTTCGGACACTCAAGACCCAGCGGCAGAGGACCTGATTGGGAGTTTATAATATGGAAAATAATATATAAAATTATATAAAATTATACAAAAACTCACATCGTAGGGTATTTGAAACTGCGAGACCAAATTGCATTGCATAAACATACGCAGCACTGCCCTGCACGTGTCATCGTCCACCAATTCAAAGTCTGTGAGCGGATTATTAAAATTAATTAATAAATTAGTAGGATTTGGTAGAGGGATTACCCTTACCCGTAAAGGTAAAGCTGTACAGGTTGTAGGACTCTGCCTCGGCTATCGCATCCTGGGTAAGCTTCTCCGTCTGATCCTGACTGGCGGTGGCATGGTAACTGAGGCACTCGAGGGCCACCTTCTGCTTGGCCATCAGCTTGCAGGCATTCTCGTACATCTGGGTGTTGTGTATGCCCAGACCGCAGAATATGGCAAAGGCCTCGAAAATCGAGGCATCTGAATCGGTAAAGGGAACTCCCTTGGCCTGGAGAAGTTAAAATATATCTATTATATATTTTATCATTAAAATAAAGACTCCTTCCCTACCTTGTTTATCAACTGCGCCACACCAATCACCGTCTTTTGGGCATTGACAATGGGCATGCAGAGTATGGCCTGGGTGCTATCGATTTCACTCTCGGCTCGTATTTGATTGTGCTCCCTGACCCACTCGTGGACATCGCATATATTCACCGTCTGCCCTGTGGTGGCCACAAATTGGGCTATCTGGGCCAGCGTCGAGGTGCTAAGCTCGCTGATCGAAGGCCGGGAGACATTGGCCGCCTGGTACTCGCCGCCGAGTTCAAAGAGCACAGTGAAACGATTGCGCATTTTCTGCCAAAAATCCAAAAGGATTCTATGTGAGGCATGAAAATCAATGGAGGAAACTCGAGGCAAACTTACCTTCTCCTCGAAGCTGTCAGCGGACTTGATGGCGCGGGTGGCTGGCTGATTGGGCTTCTCAATTATCTTCTCCAAATGGCTCTGTGAAAGAGAGTGAGGAGAGGAGGAGACGACATTAAGTGGCTGCCACTAATGGAACTCCTAACAGCAGTAGCAGGCAACTTGTTGCTAAATTGCACTGCAGCAGCACCTCCCCTGTGAGCATAATTAAGCTGACATGTTGCACATGACGGGCATGTCAGCCAAGTTTTCAGAGTTCAGACCATCCGGCTGAAAGCCCCCTGGGCCAGCTAGCTTTATGGGCTAATAAATTGTCCATTACCCGGACATGCACTGGCATTATCAGCTGGCTAATTAGTATATGGCATTTAAGCGAATTAAACAGCCAAGAGAGCTCTTCGCATATCCAAATTATTAATAATAATTTCGGAGAGTGAAATAAAATGGAGTTTGGTTCATGGAAAGGTCTCTGATCGATTGTTCAGATGAGTTAATGCGGCGTGCGGTAATTTAATGCAATGCATTCATCCATCAAATTGGCCAAGCAAAAGTTCTTTCTCGAATGCCAGCGGCCAGGACATCTGTTTTCCTGTTTCCATCCCCTTTGCGGGCCATTTCATTTAAAAGTTTAATGCGTAAATTCCCCCGAGGAGCATCCTTTGACATTATTCATACGCCCCGTTGGCCAAGGTGGAATATGCAAAACACCATTGTCCTGCCGGCCATCCTGCTGCGCACATATTCATGTATTTATTGTACGCATTTTACACATGTAAGTGGAGCCTAATGGATTTTACCAGGCAAGGCCTCAGCCTGATTCGTGCGAATAAATAATTGTCTGAAAACAATGTACACAACATTCTGCATTATGCTATTCAATGGCCTATTTGTAGTGATACTCGAATTTAGTTGAACAAATATTATTCAATCATTTCAATGATGGTTTTTCTTTATTGTAAATATTAATTGTAGTGAATAAAATTGAGATATTTTACAGGGAAATTGGGAGAGAAGCTTACTTCGGCAAGCTGAAAGTTGTATACACTTGCAATAGAGTGAAATAGATCATAACTAACTGTTATGAGTTACTTTTTACAAGGTTAATAAACCTACAGACTGAATTTAAGTATTTTTAAATTTAATATTTGGCCAGTTTTAAGGGTTTAACCCCTTAATAATAATTTTTTAGGGAAAAATCAAATTTTAAAAATTCTATAACTAAGCCAAAAATATATTAAATTCAATTCGGAAAGCGCTTTTTTGTTAGTTTTTACAAGGTTAATAAATCTGCATATTGAATTAAAGTTTTTTTTAAATTCAAATTTTTAGCAATTTTTGAGAATTTTAATGATGTAACCCCTTATAAAATTTTGGAAAAATCGCGAAAAATTTTTTTTATGCAGACATGCCTAAATCGATTCTGCTGTCGATGCTGATCAAGAATATATATGATTTATAGGGTCGGAAATGATTCCTTCACTGCGTTACAAGCATCTGACTGAAATTATAATACCCCGGAAGGGTATACAAATGGGGCACTGGTTGGGGTTTTTGATAGCCTAAAGTGTATTAAAACATATTTACTTTATAAATAAACAAATAAGCCTCTTGTTTAGTAAGAGAAAAGGCTGTTTAAATTGTTATAAAGAATATGTAACTATTCTTTCTTTTGGTGATTAAATAATTGACCAACTCAACCCAGAAATAAGTCCTGTAAATAGCTTTGAGTTAAACACAATTATTCTGTTATTAAATATATTTCTATATAACTTTGCATCGCTATTGAACTTTCAAAACAATAATAAAGCCTTCTCCCTTCTAATCAACTAATAAAAACCCACTCAAAGTTATTAAACATAAAACTCTTTGTTCGTTTCAACAAAAATTAAACGTCCAAATAAGTTATTACGGTTTGACGTGTTGGTCTCATGAATTATTCCCTCTGTTCTTCTGCCAACTGTCAGTTTTTGTGTCTAACCTGTTCCAATTTGGTTGATTTATTTACAATTTACAGGAAATACTACCTGCAAATTTCATAATGGAGAGCGCGCCAGCGAGTTGATTCAGCCGCCTCCGAATAATGACAGGCAATCAGCGGGAACTTTAGCCGTAATGAAAATTGCCCAGACCTGGGCATAATCTTTCCCCGTCCGTCCCAGCCGTATTTACCATGCCCATTGCCGTAAACATTTGCCCTTGGCTGCTGTCAGAATTCTGCGCAGAATGCCTGACACTTGTTCATAAAAAACACTCCCGTGGAATCGTGGCGACGCGACGCCGCCCACCCAAAGTAACATAATGTAAATTGCACATTTTAATTTCCTTGGGGTCGCCGGGCGAAAAGTTGACAAACGCACAAACAAAATGGCCGACGCGCGGTGGCGTTTAAACAATTTTAATGAAACTGACAGCGGCACAAACACGGATACGGAAATGGAAATATTGGCGGACAGAGAGAGAGAGAGGTAGAGGAGTGACCACAGGCACCGCAGGGCGTCACTTTTTTATTCATGCGCCCATATGGCGGCGACAATTTGCGATCGCCTCCACGAAGGCAAGCAAATCATTTGCATGGAGGACCTTTAACCGCCTGAAAAAATGCCAGTAAATTAATTTTAATTCCTCAATCGATGGGAAACGGAAAAAGAGAGGAGAAAATACCGCGAGAAAGTCAATTGGTACATGGGAAACCTTAACGTGAAAGTTATGTGTTTAAAGGTTCAGTTATTTGAGAAATTTAGAGAAAGATTTCTAGATCTTTAGATAGATATTTATATCCCACTTATATTTATCAATACTTTTCTTGAATATCTTTCCAGTGTAAAAACTCACCGCCTCGCAACAGTCGAGATCCACAAGAAACACCGAGCAGCGTTCGCACTTTAGCAGCTCCCTGGCCTCTGTCATTATTTTGGTGACAAGGCACTCGAGGTTGTTCTGCTCCTCGAAAATGCTGCGGGCCAGATTGAGGAGGATTTGGTTGCGTCGATACTCCTGGACGGACATCTCGAACAGCTGGGCATTCTGGATGCCAATGCCGCAGAAGGTGAGATACCGACGGAAGATTTCCACGTCATGTTCATCGAACTCCATGCAGCCTGAGGAGAAGAATAAATAAAACAAATATTAATAGTTTAATATAAGTAAGGTATCTTTAGAAAAATAAATTCCTTAATTCTTTGGGGACCCTTTGGGTTATCCTTACCATTCGTTTTGTTTATAATTTGCGCCACGCCTATAATGTCACCCTCGTAATTGCAAATGGGCATGCAGAGGATGGCATTCGTCTTGTAGCCGGTCTTCAGATCGATTTCACAGTTGAATCGCGCATCCTTGTACGCCTCCTTGATGTTAATCATCTGCTTTGTCTGCGCCACCATGCCGGCAATGCCAATGCCAAAGGGAATGATAATCTCCTCGGCACTGGCCCGAGTCACCGCGTCCTTGAGTGCTGCAATCAAAAGAGATTCAAACGAGAGTCAATCAGGAGGAAAGAAATCGCCATCATCGAAAGGCATGAATACAAAAAATCATTGATTTAAGGATAGTCTCGCACTTAAGATTTACATTTTCATGATGACATTATTTGTGATTCCGAGAGAAATTCCGATGAAGAGGTGGTTTTTAGTTTCCGCTTGCATTAAATGTTTAATGTTAAATTTAAGCACCCAGAACCCTCTTTTTTTTTTTTCCAAAAAACTGCCCAAAAATTAGCTCAACCGTTGCAAAGCGTGTTAGGATAGGCCCAAGATAAGGGCCCGTCGTCATGCATCTGAAATATTAAATTTATATGCAAAAGATATATACACAAGAGCGCTGGGCCTTGGCAGAAATTTCGAAAAAAAAAACGCACAGAGAGAGAATAATATATAAATAAATAATGGCGAGGGCCCCGTGAAATCCAAAATCCGAGGGCAAGAAGTCAAATGTGAATTTGCATGAGCTCCCTTGCCGGTCCCGCCTCAATCATAATCTCAGTGTCCCACACAGCACCGCCTCACATGTATCCGTATCCGCATCCGTAGTCGTATCTGTATCTGTAGCTGTATCTGGGGGTGGCCACCAACACAAATTTCCCAGCTCTAATCTTTCTCGCATTTTCCCCACTGAATTATGTAGCGGAAGCGGTGGCTTTTACTCACGGATCTGCACCAAAGATTCATTACGAATGTAGCGCACTTTCATATGAATATATATGTTTCTGGGCGGAACCCAGGGGCTCACGTTCCTGGCCAGCATCCTATATCTATTTACCATTTGATGGCGACCTTTTGCAGTTTTATGGCCTGCCGGGACTGCCGAAAACTTTTAATGCCCGCTTCCGTTTCCGTTTCAGCTTAATTTCGCTAATGCGTTGGCCATCCCCTCTCCTTTTCCTCCTGGCCAGGCCGAGAAAGACCTCGAAATTATTTACCCGGCCGCTAATGAGTACCAATTTGTACTCGTCGAGCCCCTTTGGCTAGGCCATAAACCCTTCAAAAATCACCTTAAAGAGGGTCAAATTTAATCATTTTAATCGAATTTTATGTGAAAGGAAAAGTTTAACCGTCTTTTATTGCTTATTTTCATCAAAAAGTCGAGTATCTTGGGGAAATTAATAGACTGCTAAATATCAGCCATTTAATGAAGATATTTTCGATATTTAAAAAGTAATAAAGTGTATTTAAAAGGCACAAACTGGTAAGCATTTCTGTTTACATTTGTATCTTATCTATTCACAGCTTGTTCATGTCATTCAAACATGTTTTCTAGCTGCTATCAGTGTCCTACACTTCAGTTCTCCCCCCCGCAAAACCACAGAGCACTTGACTTGGCTCACATTTCTTTCTCTTTTTCCATTTTCCATTTGCACATTTTCCATTCCTCATTCACTGCTGGTTTCCTTCGGCCATTGTGTGTGGTAGTTCGCTTTGTGCATTGTTGGCCTTAATTAAAGCGGGATTACCTGTGCCATTGGGATCTCGCCCACAGGCACCACCGCCAGGAAGGGAGGAACATTTTCGATTGGCAAAACTCACCTGTCTTTTGGGTGACATCGAACAGCTTGGCCACCAGGTACTTGTTGGTGGGCGTGCCCTTGGCCAGAAACAGAGAGCCACGATCCGCGTGGGTGAGCAGGCCCACGTTCACCAGAATTTTGTGGCAGAGCACATCGATGTCCAGCTCGTTGGCCACGTCCCGAATCAGTTCCATGAACAGCTCGCCCTCGTCCAGGTCCATCAGATGCCGCCGGCATTCGGGTAGCGAGGAGGCTGATGAGTTCGAGAGGCTTCTCGGTGATTTCTGCAGGCGAAAGCAGGGGGAGAGAACCGACCATAAACGTTAATAGAAGGCTTAGATTGAGGCTGAAACACTTGGAAATATTGGGGGTTTGTAGGTTTAAAATTAATATTAATATTCAATAAACCTCCTTCTAAAACAAGACTTATTTTAATTAATTCTTTTACTATAAATAAATTTGTATAAATAATTTTTTCTTTCGAGTTTTAGGTCTCTAGAAATCCTTATTTCTGATTTCCTAACCATTTCTTCTTCCACTTTTCTTTTAGTGCAAAAACGTGTCCTTTCAGTAATTGAATTTGCTTGTTTTGGCACCAAGACGCGGAATAATTTCGCTATTTAATTAGTTCCCATATAAAAATAGCTTTATTAGCCACCATTATTATTGGACAAGACACGACTGGGGAGCCTTTTAAATATTTAACAGTGCATTTAAGGCAATGGCAGCGCCATTGTCTCTGCTCACGTTCCATTATTCTTCTGTTTTCGATTTCTGGCCTGGCCATTTAACCCTGCTGCCAGTTTTTGGAAGCTAACGTGGTCCGGCTCAAAGGGTGACTATTAGCAGCAGTTGGCAGTTGTGCCTTTAAGCGGCCATGTGGTAATTGAATACCGAAAAAACGGGGGGCTCCCGGATCCCAGATCCCCGATCCTGAGCCCTGTGCGTGCGAGTGGCCAATTAACCGAGCCGGGAGCTGGAAATATTGCGTGCCATGTCCCCATCCCGGAGTCCCCAATCCTACCTCTCACACCATCATTTTCACTGACAAATTAAAGCAATTTACTGGCGGTGCTGCCCTTGGCTCCATCAACATTTCCATGTGCCACATGCCCCGGAATATCGATAATTGCTATGTGTTTAAAAATAAGTAGTTCACTTGTAGGGCCACAACTATCTAGTTTGTTTTTTTCTGTATTTATAGGTATTGTGTTGAATATTTTAACATAAAAAATTAATAGTCTAATTAATAGTGAAACCCTTTTATTTGGCAAAGAGAAATATACTAATTGTAGAGTAATTATATGATTATTAAAGATGAATAAATGATATATCTTTTTTATATACTATAATTTGTTTATTCTGCTTTTATGTAACTTACTTATTAATTTATAAATTACCCATCTATAATTGTAAAGATTTCAACAATTTATTGACTTTTCTGACATATTAATACCCAAAATGAAGAGTCAATTAATGCTTTCTATTAAATTAACTGAATATAAACACAATTTTTATTGTTTGCTTTTTTTTTACATTTCTCCCCCTTTCCCTTTATAAGCTCTTCATACTTTATAATGATAATTAAGTGATTAAAACTCCCCTAAGAAAAAAACCCCAAAAAAAGGACAACCCCGTAAAAAGCCAATGTTTGGATTGAACTGAAAGTTAGAAAAACAATTCTGTTTGTGTGCGGGCGCAATGCAAATTCATTAAATAAAATGCAGACAACTAAGGGGAACTCTGGAAATGGAAATGGAAATGGAAATGAACATGAAAATGGAAAACAAAGCCAAGTCAGTCAGAGCGTTAAGTAAATTTGAACTTCAGCCAGTGGCAATGGGTGTTCGTTCCCCTTAAAACAACAATAAAATCCTCAAACGATGTTGAGCACTCGTGCTGTTTTTATGATTGTTTTATTTTGTGCTTTTCTTTTTGGTAAAAAGAAAGTGAAAACATGAAAACGAAATGACTCTTAATGGGAAAAGCGTTCTGCATGCCATGTAAATTTCAGGACTATATTAGGAAGCTATATAAAGACACAAAAAAATATCTTAAGTCTTTTATATATCTTGTTATGAAATGAAACCTAAAACTTGACATCCTGTTATATTTTTTAACAATAAAAATATTAGCTAAAGAACCTAGAATTAAAAGATAATTTTCTTTATCAACACTTTTCCCTAAATTTCTTTCATTTCTCGCTGTGCATCTAATATAAATAAGAGATACATTTACAGGCAATACACAGCTGAGACTAAGGAACTGCACAATGCCCCGAATGGGGACTGCAGTTTGCATTGCGTAACATGCACTTAAATAAATTGACAATATCGACAACGAAAAATGGAAGAGGAAACGGAAACGGAAACGGAGAGGGGACACATGGTGCCTTCTGCCTGCTGCTCACCTGCTGCGAAGGGGAAAAATTGCACTCACTAAGCCAGACAATCGCTGAAGGGTCTCAAAGGCCAGGCAGTTATTCTTTTGTTGCTGTTGTTTATTGTTGTTGTTTTGCCCAGGACACTTGCCCGTTAACTTTGGCCTGGCCTAGTTAGTCCCCCTCTCTTTCCTTTCCCCCAAACAAACGAAAAGCAAACACACGTGCCCTGCCACTGGCTTTTAGTTTTGATTCACAAGTGCAGTGAGCACCAGGTGAGTGCCGATTTCTATGTGAACCTAAAGAGCCCTTCTAGTTTCGAATTTTTCCTGTGTTTTTGCTCAACCAATTGCAGTCGAGGAGCACTCCATACGACGACGGGGGGTGATCAAACATAATTTGGTTTGATTTTTCATTGAAATACCCGTAAAACTCAGTCTCGATGACAGTTGTTGTCCCGGGCAACGGTTGGGTCAAAGGAGTTCAATTCAGTACTCGAGTTCAAGCACCTATCTGATGGCCATTAACACGAGCAATCGAATACACAAGTAAATAAATGAATTGCCAGTAATTGAGTTCACAGACAGTTTTTGTTTTGAGTGGAAAATGTACAGAATATTGGATATATTTGAAAGTTAGAATTTAAAGAATAATATCATTAAGGCATAAGCCATGCCTCTCTCTTTATACATTTCCTAAAATAACCACAAATCAAAGGCTATCGTTTTCCAATTCACATTTATTAAATCCCACACACGAGTCTCCTTCACCTTGTGAAATTTATTAAACGGCAAAAGGTCAGGCTGTGTAGAGTCTATGCCGCCTTTTGTTTTATGTTTCTTCGATATAAAAGTTAATTGAAAAACACTCGTGGCTGTCGATAAATATAAAATAAAAATATGTATGTGTGCGAGGGTAATTTAATTTTTACTGCTTTGAATTAAATATAAGCAGAGACGGGGGCCGTAAAAGCCAGAAAAGTGGAAATGTGTGCCACTTCAAGTCCGCATCCCAATCCTTGTGGCTGTGTGAGTTTTTCCAATTAGCAAACTTCACACGCAGGCCCCGCCGACAAGACAAGCAGACAGAAATTTGTGAAAATATCAATTTAGTTAATTCGCCCGGCGAGAAAGCGAACAAAGTTAAATAAAAGCGGAAATCCAGCAGCAGTAGCGGCAGCAGTGCCAAAAGTACAACAAAACAGGACGAAACAAAGCAGCGCAAATACAAATACTAGCTCAAACAGTGGCAGGAGCTGGGCAAATAAAGCCCTGACTAGTGTCTGTGTCTGTGTGTGTGTGTATGCGAGAGTGGCAAAAAGGATGGCTAAAAGCCGCTACCAACTGCAATTGCCAACTGCCACTTGGCGCTGCATTTGCACTTGCACTTGCACTTACCCGTCGCTTTTGTTTGGCGGCTGTCCTGCGGGTGTAAGGATGTAATAGATGGGAGATGGGTGTAGCTGGAGAATAATATAATGGACCCCCTCTGGTTGGGGCCACAAAAACTAATTTCGGCCAGGACACAAGTGCTAGAACAACTTTGATTAAAGTTCTTTGGCTTTGGGGGCAAGGTAAATTTGGTTATTGCCAGGAAAACGAACTTGATTCAGATTTTGCCACAGGCTTGGCACGTTTTAAGTGTGATTATAGTAATAGTTGAAGCAAAAACCTAGCTCTTTCAATTAACTTTAACTCCAGTAAAAAAACATAAAATAAAGTTGCTCAATTTCTACACATATTTCCCTCAATAAATCTTGTATTATTTCAAGCCACCTACCTGCTGCACCGTGGGCGAGGCGGCCATCCATTGCTGGAACAGATCGGAAGTGACCGAGGGTCGCTTGATCGGCTTCCGGCTCTCTATGAACTCCTGCAGTCGGCTGAGTGCTTCCGGCGGAGCCCTTTCCGTCAGCCATTTCTCGAAGGCTTCCGGTTTCTCCTCAAACAGCTTGGCCACCTCATCGACATCCTGCTGGGATGCCGAGGAGCCAGAGCCAGTTGTCGTCGTCTTGGCCAGCCTCTCGTGCTGACCCAAACTCTGGGTCTGGCTACTGGCCTGCGCCGAGGCGGATGTAGAGGCCACAGGTGTCCCCAGATCTGGAGATCTTAGCCTGACATCTGGCTTGGGACTGACCGCAGGTCGATTGTTATTGCTCTGCCGGTGATGGTCCAGTGTAGTCCTGGAGTTGCTACTGTTGCTGTTACTACTGCTGGTGGGTATGGCTGTGGGTGCTCCGCCTCCTCCTCCTCCGCCGGCTGCTGTTGACGTGGCCGCCTTGTTGGCGCCATTGGTCAGCGGTTTGGATGCGGACGAGGACGACGACGAGGACGTCGCCGACGTTGTGGCGGCTGTGGTGCTTATTTCCACCGGAGCTGCGGCGCCGCCACAATCTGTCATGTTGCTACTGCTCACTGTGCCGTGCATGAAATCATTGCGGGCAGGATTCAGCTCTGCCAGCTTCGTCTCCTCCACCTCGTGGCTCGTTGGCCTCGTTAGCCGGGGCTCAGCCCGCCTGCTGTGTCCGCTGATTAAGTCACGTACGCGCCCACTTATGGGTCCAGGTCACCAGGATTCCAGGGCTTTACCCGACCACAGTGCTGCCAGCAGCCTGTTTTTGGAAAGAGGAAAAGTAAAAATATTGAAGAAATTAAGACAAATGCAAAAGAGGAACTATAAAAATTCTATAAAATTAAGGAGAACACTAAATCAGGATTATTTTTTAATATGTAAAAGAGAAAATATTTTATCATTTAGCAAAAAGAGAAAATCCTGCCTAAAAAAACGGATAAATGGTCACCACTGTCCGGACATACCTGTTGCTCTTCCAGTCCTCAACTTTAATGCCCAGGTAATTGATGGGCCAGACTCATCGCCTTGGCTTCATGCACGTCTGCTCCACTTTTGTTTGTCTTTAAATGCGTCCACTCCGCCGGTTAATCGTTGATTTTTCCCTATGTTTAAGAGAGAGAGGGGGAAGCTGGGAAAGCCTGGAAAGAAAAGCAAAGACGTTGTAAAAGTTACTATTTGATGGCGGCTTAAATGGGAACAAATGGAAAGTTTAGACGCGACTTTGGCCAGGCACTCGGGGCTAATGGCTGGCTGCCATTAAGCGAATCGCTTTCGAAATTCTAGATGAGCTGGGCGTGGCCCCCATCCCGACCTATTAACGGGGGTCCTGCTCCTCCTGCTCGCTCCTCTGGTCCACCTACAATATCTCCTTATCAGTTGCTTAAAAATTAATGAGTTGCCGGCAAGTTTTCCTTGGCTTTCATGAGAGATTTTCATGGGTTTTAGGTTGCAGTTTTAAGATATTTTTAAGATTTTTAAAGAGTTTTAACGGATTTCAATAACCTATTTCATTTAAAGATTTTATTTAATTTTTAGAACCAATTTAAGCTTTTGAAAAATAGAAGATTCCCTAGACATAAATTTCACACTTGGTTGGCAATCCCGAAAATCTAGATTTCCATTCAATTCTTAAGTGTCCTTTTCTCAGCGGCGGCTGCCTTTTCAATTCCTAAATGTGAATGTATCACATGGAATTTATTTGCGGGTAATAAATTCGCTTATCCCCCGCCGACGGTGTGGGAAATCTCTTGAAAATCCCGCCCCGAAAGCGAAATGGAAATATATTTAAATGCTTCAATGGGACACAAATTTATGAGCGTCGGTTAGGAGGGCCAAAGGTAATTTCAGCTGACGTCAAATGCAAAAAACAGGACTCGAAACTCAAAGGGCGGCGGCTTGCATTCACATTTTCACAAGCAAAAAAAAAAAAAAAAATGGAAACTGGAAAAATATTTAAAATGAAAACTGTAGAAAGGTTGAGAGGTGGGGGGGAGGAATGGAAACAACGTAACCATTTGTGCGCATTTGCATTGAAATGGCTCTCGACATTTGCATGGAAAACACTTTCGGCGCTAGCCACGTGCAACGAGCAGCCGGAAAATGCAACTTGCAACTTGCATCGGATATGGTATACTATATAAACCCCAAGCCAATCTCATCTGGGCGTCATAAAGCAGCATCAAAGTGTGCCAACAGTTTTGCCCTTAACATGGGTTCAGTTTATTTTCGGGTCATATCCTTAGATGGCTTTTTGTACAGAAAGAAATTGGTAACAATTGCGGGAAAAATTCTAAATTCTAAACAAAGAAAATAAATGGGAAATGGGAAATGTAAGGCTTTGTTACCTTGATTATAATATAAGCTAGCTTCAGGCAATTATTACTTCAAAAATCAACTGGAATTTTCATTTTCTTTCAGTGCCCAAACTCGGGCACCTTGACCAGCAATGACTTTGCATGCAGCCTGCACTTGTTTGTCCGCTTCTCTCGGCAGCATAAACAATGGTGTTTTTGAATAAAACACTGGACCAAGAGCCAAGACTTGGCCAGGAGCAAACAAAAACAGTATACAGCAGGACTTTATCACGCACTCGTTTGCAATTTCAAATTGGGTAATAAATTTCTGAACTCCACTCTGCCGATGAGATGGTGTGGTGTGTTGTTGCGTTGGCGTGTCCTCTGGCTTGTCCTGGGGTGGCCTGTGAAATTGCTTTGTTCTCGCCGGGGTTCCCCTCCTCTCCTACCACAGCTTAGTTGCTACTGTAAATTTAATGTCAACACTAAAGATTAAGAGTTTAATGCGTACTTCGGTTAACAAATTTTTCTTTGCGCCAGACGACGACCTTTGTTCTTGGCCATAAATCGATAATGAAGTTACCAACTCGGCAAGCAGCTGAAATTATAAGCTTATTTGTGTTTTGAACTGAACAACAATTAAGTTGATAAAGTACATAGAGGGGAGAATGGGTATCGAGTTAATTGTCTTTAATTAACTTTACTTTGTTTTTAATAGGAGAAGAGTCCATGGATCTCTTTACTAATAGTTTAGTTAGGGAAATGTGAAATATCTTAGCTGAATTCCCTTAAATACTTAAACAAATCTGCACATTCCTTTTTTGACAAGCACTTCAAATTAATGTATATATTCAGAAAATTTATTTTTTCCCCTCTAAAACATGCCGTGCCAAATGAAATTTCGCTCGAAACTGCTTGCAAATAGTTCGCTGCAAAATGCAAACAATTAGTCGTAATTAAACCCATGCAAATTCTGCATTTGGCAAAGCGTTTAGTTTGCCGCAAAAGCGGTCTGGCTCTGTCCGTCAACCAAGTCAACATTTGCATAATTTCAAATTGAGCATTGACGCTGCGACAGTACTCCCTCCGTTCCCGGAAGCCACCGACAGATAGTCCGTTCCCTAATTTCGACAGCAGCAATTAGAGCTGCGGACGACGCGTCGGGGGGATTATTATGTTTCGGAGCAGAGCGGTGCATTATCCTGCGGGTCACGCACTCTAGTCCCGGAAATGAGCAGCGGAAATCACCGGCATTAGGACATACAAAATGCCAGAGTCCTGGACCTCATGTGGGCTGCTTATATTTACTGATAAAATAATAAGGGCGTGTGTAGGGTTTTTCTTTGAGAGATTTTTCCAGCAAAAATAAAATGAAATATTAAAGGGGAAATATCTGATATTTAAATTAGAAAGTTTAAAAATATAAAAAAAAGGAGAATACAGTAAATTGCAAAACCTCACTTAGCTCTCAATCCCCATCCCCAGTTCCTGCTCTCAAAACTGTAGCATACTTTGTGGAACCTGAGAATCCCCAGGACCCAGACCCCAAACTAATTAGCGAGTTTCACATAGTCTAAACCCTTGATTATAGCCCCGTTTGTAATGTCCCGTCGACATGCAAAATAGTTGTGGCTGCGTTGGGCAAATTAAACCCACTAGTATTTATTCCAAATTGCAGCGAGCAAATCGACACACAGAGGCAGTCGAGCTCCACTCATATTTCCCTTAATTAAAAAATATGTGCAAGTTTTTTACACTGCCGCTGGTACTCGCCACCCATCAGCGGTAGTTATTTTTAATTAAAGTGCACCGCGAACGTGTGAGACCAGGTTGCAGTTCACAGGACGCAGCAGGATGCAGTATGCGGTGCGGTGTGGCGCGGCGCAAGTCATTAGCCGAAGTCGGGGCATGCAAATGACTGGACGGGACTTGCGGTTGGACACTCGGACAATGGACAGGGAGGCGAAGGACTGCCCTTCGTCCTGCACTCAACTGAAACACCTGGTCTGCGCACCTGCATCGCTCAACGCGGAGGCGGCCATAAATAGACGGTGAAAAGGGGAATGTGCACGGGGAGAAATTTAAAGTACAATACAATACAATACAATTTTCTTTGAAAAATGTGGTTCTCAATCTGAAAGCTTGCTTTCAAAGATTCTGTAAACTTATTTAATCCACAAATTTATACAATAAACATTCAATAAAACATTGTTTAACATTGTAACAATTAAACTTTGTTGCATCAACCTTCAAGTACAATTTCTCAGTGCATTGTTGGCATTGTGGCTGTGCACTTGGCCAGCACGTTTCGAAATTACGGAATTACTGGCACACAAACACAATCACAAACACAAAGGAGACCTCCAACCAAGAGCAACACCCAATCCTTACCTCAACCCCCGCATTGTTGGCATTTTGCTAGCGGAAGTGCCTATTACATGACGTGCGTGCAATGGAAATGGCGGTTTTGCCAAAGGGGATGACGATGATGATGATGATGATGATGATGCTGATGCAACCGGCAGGATGTCCAAGGAGCGAGCTAAATTAACTTTGCGGCTAGTTTGTAGCTTTGCAGCTTACCAGCCACCGAGTGCTGGCTGTGTCAGCACCTTCGCATTCATGTTTTCAATTTGGCAAATTGCAACGTTGCATTTTCGACGCGACTTCATCAGCGGCGCTTAGCGCCAGGCCCGGCACTGTTCAGCCTTAACCCGCCGTAAACCCACTCTCTTGGTTCTGCCTCTACATTCCGGCCATTGGCAGGACAGTCACGTAGCAGCCTAAACACACTCGCAAACATACGCTGACTGCCGCATTGCTGTTGCACTTTATAAGCTTTCAACGGCTGCCGTCGACGGCTTCCCAAAGGACATTTTGCCTTTTTGGCTTAAATGCGGAAAATGCGCCCAAGGCGAAACTGCATTTGAAGGCAGGGGGTGAGCATGGTTGCTAGGGTAATGCAGGAAAATGCTGGAAAAGCCTGGTGTTGACATTCCTCAGACCCCTTCTTTGGGGTAATTCAAATTTTACATTTCCCACATGAATAAGCAGAGAGGAGGCCCGCCTCCAAAAACATTTCCTCAGACAATACTTGTTGCATAATAATTGTAAACATTTCGGGGAAAATTAAAGGGGGTTTGGGTACGATTTCAAGGGGATTTTCTCTGAAGAATTTTTGAAGGAAAAATACTTTTATAAGACTCGACTTTAAGCCTTGGATTTCAGAAGAAATTAAGGAGCTTACAAACATTTTAGTGCTTAGTTATTTTACTCTGAAGAAAGTTAAGATTAAGTTACACAAAATTAATCAACAAATAATTTAAAAAATGTTGTATTATCCTTTAACTTTTCTCTGTAAATGTCTATTTATTTTTTCCTCTAAACATTACCAAACAATACTTGTTTCCTAAGAACTAAACTAATTTCTAGCATAATTTCAAGGTCTTCACAATTTGATTTTCAAGGTAATTTCACAGAAGCAGAAAATGGATATTACACATGCACAACGCCAGAGGAGAAGACGACTTGTAAACCAGCCACAACCAAAGTTGAGCTTTCAAGTGGTTCCTGGCATTAGTCGAAATGTTTACCTGCCTGCCACAAATGAAATGACATGACATGGAGAGGGGAAAGTGCCTCATCCCCCACCTCAACCTCTGACCTGGCTGCCATTTGTTGTGCTCCTGTAGAATTCCTATCTATCGAAATGGAAATGTTTGCCCTGGGCATGCAAATTGGAATATACTGTCCAGTGCCTCCATATTGCCAACGTCCGAATTTTGTTATTCATTGGGGGAGGTAAACTGCAATCGAGAATTAAGGAATCTATTTGCCTTCGGACT